GATGAGACAAAAGAGACATTAACCGGTATCGGCACCCTCGGGATTTGGCAAGCATGCACCGCACCGCACACCTACCAAGACAGTCTCTGATTCCATTCACGAGCCACTGGTAGGGAGCAGTTTTAACTAGGTGGATTGTTTTAATATTTAAAAAGTGAAGAACATTTTGTTATTTTTATGTACGTTTCTTCACAAAACTATATTTAATTATAATTTTCTTTAAAAGTATATTCCTACAATTGAATATTTTGTACCAGGTATGCATAATTGTATATCCATCACACATTTTATTTTACCAAGTAAGTTTTAAAAATTTTATTTTTAATTTAAGCCCTTATATTCTGGCTAGCAATTTAGAATATATTGAAAATTTATTTTTAAAAAATTTTTGGCTCATGATCATATAATGAAAAATAAAACATTATTAAAAGAGAAAGACCAATGCCTAAATTAAATATAAATACAGCAACAAAAAAATTTGTTCAACATTTTCACGATAAAATTTATGAAGATGTAAAATGGTTTTGTGGATGCATAGAAATGCAAATTGTTTTGTTGGCCTTGCCTACTATTTTCAAATGAAATTAGTGTGTGGAATAAGAATGGCTTTGACGATTTAAATAATTTGAGTAAAGCTGGAAAAAGACACAAAAATAGTAAATGTCACATTGATTCTCTCATAAAATTGAAGCAATTTGGAAATCAAAGCAGAATAAAATTTAACATTAGTAAACAATATAAAATAAATATTGAAATTATAACTTAATTATGGCTAATAGATATATTATATCTAAATTAATAGATGTTTTATCTCAAAGTGAGATTTGGCATTTAGAGGGCATAGGGAATCTATTGAATCTAATAACAGAGGTAATTATATTGAACTTGTTTATTTATTGAGTACTTCAGATAATCTATTAAAAATACATTTAAAGAAGTGTATGGTTTTTACTGGCTTATCGAACAAATGAATACAAATGGACACTGATGTGCAATTAACTAATTGACCCTATAAGTCGGCTTCTTACAGAAACACAGCTTCCCTATCATCAAATGTCACAGCACGCCACTGATATACACAGGTTTCTCCTGCTATCTGAAAGTTGAACATTTCTGTGAAACCTTTCTAAGTTGAAATCGCATAAAGCAAAGAAGCATTTATTAATATGTATGGGAAAAATTTTTGAGTATTTTCAGAGCCCAAATTTAATCTTACTAAATAACACACAAAATCTAAAATAATATGATAAATAGTCTCTATAAACTAAAGTAGAAATGTAAATATAATGTAGCTAATGAAACTACATCAGAAGTATTCTCTCTAATCTAGTGAAACAATTTCAGAAAAGAGAGAAAGATTTAAGAGATATAACTCATCGCATATGATCGTTAAAGTACCCAGATGACAGAAGTCACAAGTGATAGGGCTAAATTATGAGTGCAAGTCTTGTGGTTTTATCAACAATCCCCAAGCACAATTGACAAAAAGGTGTCGAATAGACACCTGGAATCGAACCTTTCCCATGACCCAAGTCAGTCTCGGTTTTCTCCCAAAATAAAGGAGAGACCAATTGGGAAGCAAGGAAGGAGACGAGGAGCCAAATGGAAATACTAATAGTGGGAGAAGAACTATAAAAATCAGGAATTCAAGGTCGAAAAGGAGTCTCCTCTGTATTCTGCAAAAAGTTGTGATCTGTATTGTGTTGTGTCATCGCTAACAACTTAGAACTTCACCGCACCATCTCACTGATCATCTGCTTTGCCCAGCAATCTCATCTTGTCCACCCCGGTGCTATGACTGACACCGAAATTCTCACCTCTCTGCCTTTCCGAAGGACTATAGAGAAGGACTGCCAATTGTCAATGTAAGCATAAATGTTAACAAATAAATGACTTTCTTTTGTAAGACACTTGTCATCATTTGCCTCCTCTGCCACAGCCCACATGCAACTTTTCCTTAGATTCATCCTGACGCGGGATTAACTGATCCCACTTAAAAGACGACAACCTTACAAAGGTGTCGAGGAGTGGGTTTTCAAATCCCCTATCTCCATCTGGTCGGTTACCTTACAGTTCTATAACAAGGAATAAATCATGAGAGATGAGCTGAAAAAAATTCTGACTGGTATTTTCTTTTTCAGAATACACTAGGCCTATTAGCTATAGTCCAAGTGTAAAAATGTAACAGAGCCTAAGTTTGCATGATGAAAGCAAAATCATATATAGTATTATACTACTAAGTTGAGAGGGCTTAGCCACCTAAGCTGCCATAGCAGGAATTGGAGAAAATGGAATTAGAATGTTAGTTGAAAGGTTGATTTTGGATAGACTTTTGTGTTTATCTAAAGCCATTCTTTTACACTAAATTTTATATCAAAAAATATACAAGTGTATTTTTAGAATCAATATAAAGAAGATAAAAAATATATATATATATATATATANATATATTTATTTATTTATATACTCCAAATGAATTACCAAATTATTTATTGGACAATTATAAAGCTAGTAAATAATTAAATATACCTCCAAACCAATTCTTTTCATCTCAAATATTCTAAATTAAAATTAATTTATTTCTGAATTTCTGATTATTAAATTTACCATGAAATGGCAGCATAACTACCTACCATGATTTTTATTTAATTATTTACTAGACTTGAGACTTGAAATAATCTGATGATAATTTGACAATTTGTTGAATATAATGTAAAGAAGGAATATAAAGAAGTTACATATTTTGGAAAAGTGAAACAAAAATCAATAATACTTAACTTTTTAAGTTTTAATATCCAATATTAATAATTTAAATTCTGTGTATTTAATTGTTATGAAATAAAACAATTACTGTTGGCTACTTTGCAGTGCTCCTGATTACTAGCTAAGAAATTATTCAGCACATTCTATTTTCTTATTGATTGTATTTCATTATAACAAAATTAGTGTGATGACTAACAAAGTAGATATTGTTTATAATGACTAACATTTCATATTAGTGTGATGAATAAGGAAAAAATACAAAAAAATTATTTGCAACATAAAATATGCCAAAAAATTGTAATTTTGTAAATGAAATTGATTAAGCTGAAACTCTTCTAGTTTTTTACTCATCAACTATAGATTTTCACTCATTAGAGGCTGTTCATTAATTACATGTATAGTTTTAGAGCCACTTTTGCTCCCTCACTCCCTGTTGTGTACAATGATGTACTTCTGGCAAACTCCCTCCGCATTAATTACATGTAATATAATAGTTCATGGATCCCCTCATGTTAAAGAAATGACACAAAACAACTTCTAATCTTAACACTGCGTTGAGTAATAACAATCCATAAAACCTTTTTATTACAGTGTTGGTAACAATCTTCACAAACATTTTCGACTTCCACCAAGGTCTTCTTCAGGTGGTGACTAAACGGTGTCTCCTCTTTACTGTTGGAACAATGACGCCCGAGATGTAAATGATGTGCGTATCGCGTTTCACCCCTCTGCTTTCCCAGTTCGAATTCTTCGAATAAGTATCTCCACGCCTGTGCAATCGTCTCTCTGCCTTTAAAGTTGATGCAGGTGTCCTCAATGTAGAAGACCTCAGTGGAGGTCGAAAACGTTTGTGAAGATCGTTATGAACACTGTTATAAAAAGATTTTGTGGATTGTTATTAAAGAAATGGCTTTTAAAAGTTCTGAAAATATTTTCTGATAGTTTATTCACATGACTAGTAAGTAGACTTATAAGAACAAATTTGCATGCTACTTATACCATTAAAAAAGTCAGCATAGACAATGCCTTGGCCATCCCTTAAACTGTATACATAGTTAATGTTGGGCTGTAATAGATAAGCACATTTTCAATATAATAGGAATTCAAATATAAATTTTTATAATTTGTTAGTTAAATAGTATGTTATCAATTAAAAATTTTAAAAAATTAATAACTGTTTAATTATATATTAATATTTTTTTACTTTTTTCTATTAAAAATCTTAATATTTTAGTATTCGGTTTATTAGATTAATTATTCAGTTATATGCTTAATACTCTTATAGATTGATTTTGATAAAACTAAGCATTTGAGTGATAAAAACATTAAAAAAAGACGTTCTGAGAGAGAGAAACTTCTGGCCCTTGAAAAAGAAAGAGAAGAGAGAGTTAAAAAGGAGAGAGAAGAAGAGGAGAAACGTAGAAAGGAAGAAAGGTAATATTTTAATTGAGAACAAAAATTTTCTTTCAGTATATCTGAAAACATTTTAAGCTAACATTCTTATTTTTCTATCTATCATTGCTATCATTTTAAATTTATTTCCTTACTAATTATATGTAAATTAATTAATTAATTTACTTTTAATTATTATTATTTAGGATGTGTAAATAAAATAGCAACAAATGGTCATAAAACTTATTGATAAAAATATTATAAATAAAAAACTTTTTTTTATTACAGTAGAGCGTTGTTTATCCGAACCAATTAGGGACTGGGGTTGTTCGGATAACTAATTTTTTGGATAACTGATTATGTACGAAAAATATACAGTGGAACCCCGGTTAACGAATGTCCTGGTTAACGACCAAATCGGTTAACGAACTTTTATTTTGCAAAAATTTTGTCTCGGATAGCGAACAAAATTCGGATAACGAACGGTATTTTGTGTCAAATTTTAGTTGGTGTTAGGCATGCGCGAGTTAAGCATTGCTTTTCCGAGTGTTTGTGCTATACTTCTTTTTTCAATTTGGTGATTTGTATATTTAATCAATATGGCATCAAAGAAAGAAAAAAGTCATAGTGGCAATAGAAAACGACAACGCGCTATCGCATTTGAGAACGATTTTGCTTAAAAGAGTAAGACAATCAACTTTAGATCAATTTCTTGTTCCTTACGGAAAGAGTTTGTTTGTTTGTTAAGTTATGGCAA